TGGCTGAAACTTGCATTTGTTGGTCTACATGTATGCCTTCGCAGTGGATGTCATGTGCAATCATTTAAAGTTCATAGACTTTATCCATCACATGTTTTTCTTCATTCATTTGATACTTGAAAAAATGACTACAAGACTATTTTTTGGATCCAAACTTCTTCGGTGTCATATTTTTCATCTAGAGCCTTTCAAATTTCTTAATAGAAAAATATCTTTGGTCATAGTAGTCATAAAGTTCATATAAAAAAAAAAACAATTTAGTAAATAATTTCTACATTGATTACTATCCCTTTCCTATTTCTTAACTTTTATTTCACGTTGAGCTATCTATTCATCACTCATATTTTCAGTTTTCTTTTTCTTATGACCTTTTTCGATTAAAACATAGCTCACACTTAATAGAGTAAGATAAAATAAAGTCTTTTGCTTTCATCTTTTGAAATTTTCACTACAAAAGTAGAAATGTTTGTTAGATCATCTACTCTAATGGAGCTTTACTCATACATGTTAGTGTTTTTCATTAGCGAGTATCGTCTCAAATTGTTGGAAAAATAAAAGAATATTACTTGAAAATTTTTTAATGGAAAAAAACACCAAACTAGCGAGGTTGCTTTCTTGAGACGTAGATGATTGTCTAGAGGCACAACCGAGTTGCTTTCTCACGAATTTATCTAATGCAACGGATCAAGGATATATTGTTGAAAAAGTTAAAATTAACTTGAAAAAGGACAAAATATGTATTGCTTAATTGCGTATAGAAAATACCACACACTATCCTTAAGGTGATTATTGCCCTCATTATAAATGCTGCAGGGATTTTAGCAATTCACCTCTAGGATACAATTTTAACACATAAAGAACTGCAAGCAAGCACTCTTGAAATTCCTTGAAGAGAATATCTCTTAAAGTTGTAGAGTCTTAAAAGGAAAAGAATTTTGAGAGGAGAGGAGGATTGCAAAGAATGTAATTAATTTCGTCTTGTGCAATAGTCCCCTATTTATAGACTACCGATATCCTTTCATAACAAACATGACTGTTGATTCTAATAGTCATAATCCAATAGTCATAACTCGTTGGACTCTAACGTACATAACCGTTAGATTCTAACAATCATAAGGTTTGAAAGTCGTTAATAATTAACTAGTCGTAGCAAAAAATTAAAAACGTAATTAATTAAATAATTACTAATTTAATTATATTAAGAAATAAAAATAAATTTCTTAATCACACATGCGCATGTGTAAAGTGCTAAGTGCTAGTCTTTGATTATTTAAATATATATATTATATATATAATTCCAACCAATTATCCTAGTTTTTCCTCCAATTCCTCCAATCAAATATTTGAAAGTTTTGCTAGAGGCCCATTTTATAAGTCGCCTCTTATTTTCATTCTTTTTCAATATGGGATAAAATCCCACTTGAAAACACTTTTAATTTCCTTCACAATACACTTAGGTGCTCGTTTGGTAATCGGGAATAAAGTGATAGGAATGGGAATACGAGAATCGAAATGTAATTTAAATTTTTTAATGTCCGATTTTGTATATAAATATAAAAAATAATTAAAAAATAATTTTATTAAACTATAATAGTTATAAAAATAATAAAGGTGATGGTAGTGATTGTGGTTGTTCTAATAGTGGTGACGGTGGTGACGGTTGCGGTAATGATGATGGTTGTGATTGTGATAATGATGGTTGTGGTGGTGATGGTGGTTGTGATGATGTTAGTAATGGTAGTGGTTGTAGTGGTAGTGGTGGTCGTGGTTGTGATGATGTTAGTAGTGGTAGTGGTTATGATGGTGGTGGTTGTAGTTATGATGGTGGTGGTGATGGTTGTGGTTGTGATGGTGGTAGTGATGAAGATAGTGGTGATGGTGGTTATGATGGTGGTGGTCGTGGTTGTGATAGTGGTGATGATGAAGATAGTGGTGGTGGTGGTGGTGGTTGTGGTTGTGGTGGTGGTTGTGGTAGTGGTGGTAGTTGTGATGGTGGTGGTAATGAAGATAGTGGTGGTGTTGTTTGTGGTCGTGATAGTGGTGGTGGTGGTGGTCGTGGTGATGGTGGCAAAAGTAGTTAATAGATAATAAATAAATAAAATATGTTATTATTTTGAAAAAAAATTCATTCTCATTCCTTGTTTTTTATTCCCACATTTTATGTGAGAATGAAGTTGTGTGTAAATTTTTATTCCCATTCCCACTTCATTTCTTTTAACCAAACAGACTACGAGTGTAGGAATAAAACTTCTATTCCCATTCTCATCACTCTATTCCCGATTACCAAACAAGCACCTTAACTTATTATCTAACATTGTTAAGATTTCTAACAATCTCCCACTTAGATAATAACGTTAAGTCCTTATAATATCACGCATAAACACACCATCCTAGAGAAACAACAACCTCATCCATTTTGTCATGTTTTAATAAGTTTATACTACTTCTAAGACTTGAAATTCAATTATGAACTAGCTCCACTCTTACCCAAAGAATATTTAACAAAACAATATAACTTTTTAAGCGAGAGAAAAAAAAATTAAAAATTAAAAAAAGAATTTTTATCCTCTCTATGCAAAACAAAAAAGTGCGGTTTGAAAAAATTCAAAACATGAATTTAAGGCATTAAAAAGCAAACGGTACAAATGACAATGTACCATTGCTTTTTTAAGTTATTTTTTGTTACTCACAATAACAGCTCTATGAAACTCTGAAGACTCACTTTATTAATACATTATATTCATGTATAATTAATTAAAATTAACTTTTTCTAAAAACTCACTTGACTCATCGAAAAAAATCACTTTTACATTATTTTAAACTTCAAAATAAATTCCAACACTTATTCTTAATTTTGAAGTTCTCGTAATTTTTTAGATCTGAAATGAGTTGGTAAAGCTTGCAAAATTTATAGTGCTCGCATATCAACTTGTCTTGTTGCTGCCGCCACATTTCTGTAGCACATACGTCTACTTTGTCTACTTTTAAAAAGTGGATTTGAAGTGCCCGTTCTAGCCCATACATCTACTTTTAAGACGTGGCTTTTGCAAGTTGTCATTCTATTTTGGCTTGCCTTCATGGGGCTGCTGCTTTCTTCTTCATCGTGACTTCTTGGCCATTTTCTGTCATTTTCTTGTCTTCATGTGTGCAACCTTCTTTTTCATAATGGATGGCTTTTGGCCATTTTCTGCCATTTTCTTTTCTTCATGTGTGGATGTCATTCTCCATCCACTCTCTCTTGGGTCTACTGCCTGTTTGTTTTGGGATTTCTCCCTTCTTTTTACACACATACTATACTCCTTTGAAAAGCCTCATAAACGTCCCATTAGACTGAATCTGGCTATGATATCATGTTAGAAATTAGATCAAATCTGACTTTGATAGCATGTCAAAAAATATTTAGGAAGGAAAACAGAGGAAAGCATAATGAAATCTCGCATATTATATCATATTACTCTCGAATGAGAGGAAATTTCTTGAATTCGACTTAATTTACAACTCTTACTAAGTAAGACATATATTTACAGTAGTCTAGGATAATTCCAGAAATTCTCAATCATTAATGCATTATATTTATGTATCTAGAATAGTTAAAACTAATTTTTCTAAAAACTCACTGCCTCTTGAAAAAACTCAAGGCATATTATATCACATTATTCTGAACTTCAAAATTAATTCCAGCAGCTTCTTGTCGAACCTACCAAAACTCAAGGCATCAAGTTCTTAGCAGAAGTTGCAGAAGAAAAAGATTGGAATATGCTGAGATTGATGAAAAAGGCATAGGAAGAATTGTCAAAATCTGCTGTCAGAGGAATTTCAGATGAGCAGCTAAAAACTTGGAGAATGGCACCAAAATATGAAGTTGTATTTCTTAATGCGTCGAGCTAATATTAATCATTTGAGAGTAGGAAATGACTTTTCATGCTAAGATATGGAAGGTTCATTTACTGTGGAATTACTTCCTTTGTGGCTACAGATCTCCTATCCTTTTCATACCATAACCTATTGCTTAATAATAACAAAATTCGATTAATTCATCAAAATAAAAAAAAAAAACACGAAAGAAAAGAAAAACGATGAGATATATTTAATCAAGGATTCATTGAAGTGTTGTTGCTTCATCTATGTTTGGTCACGGATATGAAAATTCTAGGGTTCCAGATAGAACGGAACTTGAAAAGAAAATGCAGCAGAACTAGATGATTCAGACAACCTAGCAACCAAGAAGATGGTTTCAGTAGTTCTGCCATGTTGTTCTGCCCTCATAGAAGCTTGTCCTCAAACTCATCAGCAAGCAAAACTTTCTTGAGAAGCTATACCATGGCATATATAGTTATTGGTTACATCTGAATATGTGTGATTATTGAGGGACAGAGGATCTGTTTGTCTTTCTGCACTGCACAAACAGAAAATTGTGCCTGCAGGTAATGGGAATGGCTCCGAAAGCAGAATTAGGTACTGAGAGAGTGGAATCTCTATACATCTTCCTTCCATATCTTTTCTCTCGTCAAGCTGCCACTATCTTCGCCAAGGATATAAGTAAAATGTCTAAGAAGCAAGCCCAGTTCATTAAATCTTGCAATTCTCTCTGCTTAGCATACAAGTAATTTATTTGTTGCTGTACTTATCTTAAAAATAACGGCCGTATTTTACTTCAAGCCAGCAAATCAAATTAACATTTATACCATAGTTCATCATAAGAACCGTATTGACACTTGATTTGCAGCTATCACCTACAGAACCTCTATATGGAAAATGAATATGTGCTCTTCTAAATTCTAATGTCTATAATGAATCTGGTAAGCCAGGTTCGAATCTTTTAGCAATTTCAAAAGTAGACGATACACAATGCTCCTGACTGATATGAGACTCACATATCTCGTGCAAGAAGCCCAGAAACACAATTAAGAGACAAATAGAGCTAAGACCAGAAACAATTAGCTGCAAATCAACTTGAATTCATTATACGAGAAGCAGAATGCCAGTACATTAAACTCCACTTAAAATGAAAATGATTTCAGTTCTTTTCCTAGAGGTAAGTCAACCTTTGCTCCTACTTGTAGTGATTTACTTACATTTTTCTGATGGCACTCACTGCTGGCGATGAAGGGGAAGAAAGAACAGCAATTGAAATCCATTCCTGGAAATTTGTACCTGCATACTTTCTGCAAAACTCGATTCTTGGTGTTGTATGCAACAACAATCCCTGGAAGCTGCAAATACATGGTCTCAAGATCTTCAATATAAGCAAAAGGAGATACGTTGCGCGGCTCCCACTGATCACCAAGACACAGAATTTCAAGATCCTGTTCCGCCAAGTCTTTATGATTGATAGTATATGCTAATGCCCACCTGAATTTTTCGCGGTCATAGACATTCTTGAGTGAGTAGACATCATGCTCATATTCCTTGAGGAGATTCCAGGTATGAACTCCATCAAAATCAGTGTAAGTGTAGTTCACTCTCCCCTCGGATTCCCACAAACATCGCCTGTAAGTCAATGTTGATTGCCAAGACCAATCTTCAAAAACATTTGGCAGTTCAATCACTTCGCAGTAATCATCTTTAACGTGATAAACAAGCAACTGTCCACTTATTTCCCAGTGAATAGCTCCATTGGAAAAAAGTGGGGTTGTGTTCAACTCAGGAAACTCGTTGTCAGGTAATTCAACATTCAAAGACAAACTGAAGGGTTGGTGATTTCTCCAAGCCCCAGTTTCGGAGGAGAAAATTTCCAATTCAATATCACCAGGAAATGGGCCCAATCCATTCTCTTCATCTTTAAAAACATGTACAAGTACAACCTGATAATGTTTTCCATCAAAACCCAAACCTGACCTAATAACTTGCCTGGTAATACCATGGTGAGGAAGAGTCACAGACTGCTTAGTCAGTGGATTAAACACATGGTAGTTGAGCTGATTCTCCCCAAAACTAGACAACAAAAGGAAGCCCTTAGATGAAGAGATAATTTGCACATAACTGCTGGTGGAGAAACTTAGGGAATCGTTGATACCGATACCTCCTGTTTCTTCGTCGATGTCTAGAAAAATAAACTGCGACGATCCTTCTTCAAACTGATAATGGCAAACTAAACCCTTTGTGCCCATATCAGAAATAATGCTGAAATTTTTAGAACAATCCTCCATGTTTGCTAATGACAAATAGTCGTGCTACCATTAATCTTGTAAGAAGTAAGTCAAGGTCAATCCAATAGCTTTATCTTTATCTACTCCCTATGAAAAGAAGATAAAGTAAAATAAAGACCTGTTAGAACTAAATTCCATTGACTTACCTCCCAAGTACCTTACCAGAAGATTCCAAAAACCCCAATCGCAAGCAAAGAATATAATTCATTGAATTTAATTAAATCCATTTAATAATTATTAATTATAAACCAACGCTTCAAGGATGCTTTTCAGACTGACACATATTCAACAAGCAGGTTTTGGGGAATTTGCTTAGAAACAACAAATATAATATCAATACTAGTAAATGAAGTGAAAACTAAAGATTATCTACTTTTTTGGATGTCATTAAAAGTAAAGGATTAAATAACACAACAGAATTACTTGCTACTCAAGTTGTTTTAACACATGAACAAGAGTGGTAACATACCTAGCATCGAAACATATCCAGCATGAAAGCAACAGCGAGGCCAAGATTTTATCTGTTTTTTCAAAGAAAGAGCGCAATACATGGAGAGGGACTGAGGGAGATAAGCAAATGAAGTATAGGGATGTATTCGCATGCAGTTAGGTAACAAATTATTAATTAATAACCCTTGTGTGACCCTAGCTAATATACAGTACTTTGCAATTTGGTGGATTAATTTTTACTATTTGTTATTATCGCACGGTTAAATTGCGTGAATCTCCTTGAAAGCGTTTGGAAATTACAAATACTACCTAACATGTCTTGAATTTGAGATAATTTCCAGTCCTTGACCCTAGGTTTTCAATGCGCATGGCAGTGGCATTTGTAGATTTGTCCATTTTCAATCCTTGGTTGCAGGCTAAAGTCAAGTATCAAATTCCTTGCAAAAGCTTCGCATTTGAAGTCTTATTCGGTATCGTTTGTGCGTGAAACCAAAGCCACGTTTTTTAAAAGTTGTGTTGATAACTATTAGCTATTTAAAAAGGAAAACATCCCACATTTTAACTAGAGTTTTTTTTTTTTTTTTTTTTGGAATCTTAAACATTTAATTAGTTAGACTATGAGTTGTAAAAACAGAACCAGTGCAAATCTTTCTTCAATTTATTTTCAAACAAAATAATAACATTTTTCGCTGCTGTGTTGAACTCAAATTTCTCTGTAATTTAGTAAAATTGATGTTTGTTATCATTTTACATTTGGCATTGTTTATTTTGCATTATTGATTGCCAGCAGTGACCCTTTTGTTCAACTTTTCCAGATCAACTAATTTTAATCAAACTTTAAACTAGTATGATATCACATAACACTCTATTTGAAAATTTGAAATGATATATAAAATGCAAAGATAAATTTCACGGCAAACATTAAGGTAGATAATACAACTCTCAAGACATTAACAGTTCAGAAAATAGGGGGAAAAAAAGGGAAAGAAATTGGTGCTGACATCACAAAAATCACGTCTTTCTTATACCTGGTTTCCTTGGATTGCTTGATTAAAACTTTACACATTTCCAAAAATGAATTATATATCCATTTATCTGTAAGTTATATGCATGATTGATTTATCTGGATAAACCACACAAATGCACGCATATAATAGAACCAAAAGAGAAAGGAAGAGAACTGAGACAGAGAGAGGAAGGAATTCAGATCAATTACCAGAAACTGAAGTAATCACAGAAATAAAAGCAAGCAGGCTAGAGGCTTTTGGATATTTGATGATCACAATGCATACACAGAAAGGATGTTGAAATTTCAACATATACCAATAACGGGTTAAGGCTGTGATACAGGAAACTCCTGAAGGATGTCTAAAGTATACAAACAAAACTCTCACACCCTTGTCTAGGAAAATGGCCTACAGAAACCAACTTGGCGAGATCCATGAAGTCATCACATGATGGTGCAACAACTCCTTTCCTCGGTAGGCTGTGCAGACACTGGCTGGAACCTGTGTGACTCAGATGGGTTGTATGTGAACTCAGATGTATCAAGCCCATACTGGTTTCCATCCAGCAAAGAACAGACAAGTACAGCCATGGAATCAGAATCAGAACCAGAAAGTAGAAAATTTGATAGACACATAATATGCATGTATGACAAGTGATGAAAAAAGATATCAGACCCACAAGTACTTGATGCAAAACCAAGATGATGAGATTTACCATTTGATACATATTGTGCTAATAAAAAACAATCATGTCTAAATGTTAAACCATGAAAATGATATCATTTGAATATTCAAGAATCAGGCTGATCGTGTAACAAGAAGATGTGGTAGTGCTTGTTTATCATCCTGCATGTCCACTACGAACACATTATAGCCAATCCAATGAACACAGGATCAAGGTGTAACTGATTTTAACAGTTCTCTTATAGTCCGAAATTGTTGTATTTTACTCGAAATGTCACAAAACTGAATTTCCAAAGCTTCATGAAAATCCACTAATAATGTAGAACTTTGCCAACAAATATCACATTAAATGGTGTCTCTGGACAGAATGACCTGTATGGCTAAAGCCATAGAAACATGAAATATTACCAGATAGAGAATCATACTTACCCTAAATTATATTTCAGAACAAGCCAAACCTTTTGAAACATGCAATATTACCAGATAGAGAATCATACTTTCACTAAATTATATTTCAGAACAAGCCAAACCTTTTCCCTCATTCGTGTACTCCAAGCATCATTTCTACTTGGACGCTGATCAACGGTTCCAGTAACCGGCACTCCTGCTGCAGGAGCTGGTGGCCTGTTAAGCAAAGGCTGCCGGATCTGTTGTCTAGGGGTAATGAACTCATCATCGCTATCATACTCTGCTGGCCTGTTTGCCGCTCTAACCACAAGGGCTAACAAGAAAATAATAGCCTGCAATAACACAATGATTCATTGTAAATGAGCTCTTAAGAAGCTCTTTTATTATTTTTGAGGGTGAGGGGGGGGTGGGGGGGTGGGTGAGAGAGTTCAAACTCATACAGAAACATATACATCAAACACCATTTCCCAGCTCATAGTCACCACAAAATCAGTCCCAGTCTTACCAATAGATAATCATATGGTTTGTGAAAATATGGAACATTCATTTTCTCAGTGGTGGAACTTGTCCAAGAGAGTAAGCACACTTTTACAAAGAAACCAACCATGTCTATAAGAACCTTAAAACCTCAATGGAAACTCCTAACCTAAATTCCCCCATCATATTAGATTCTCTAGAAATTTTTTCCTGTTTCAGTATTCCTTATCTGAGATCTGATTTCCTTCGACTGTGCTTTTATTATTTATTTCAACAGAAGGAAAAAAAAAAAAAAAAGGTTCATGGCATGATTACACGTGACTGATTTGCCATCAATGCTTTGCATTCATTAACTAAAGAAAGCCACCCACAAATGAACAGAGTCATAAATACAGAGGAGAAAAGATGCTTTGGGGCATGGTTAGTGAGTGAATGAGGAAAGATAACTGTATCATATTGTTTAACTGTCTCCAAATCCAACAATGTCTAAGAAATGTTACCACCATCATACAGACTGCTGCCCAGTTTCTGAATCTGTCTCTCTGAAAAGTACCAAACCATAACAAAAACAAGAAGCCACATTTCAAGCTTACCTCCAAAATAACTATTCCAAGAGCAACCCATTTGATGATGTTCCAATTTCCTTTGAGGAAATTATATATCATGTCAAAATCTCCAGTTTTGTCAGTTGGGAGTTCCTGAAGGACAAAAATTACACCACAATTTAGATGACTTGAGCACATTAAACTTCTAAAAATCAGTTAAACAAAAAGACTCACTTCTCTCCAGCTTTTGTCAAAGAATATGAAAGCTGCACATCCCAACTCTACCAATATCAGCAAGGCGATCAACACTGAATACTATGTTGGCTTAAGGAAACCGATATGCATAAACCAGAAACCCAAGGATCATATAAACTATTCCTCTATTCCATAAAACAGTCACCTTGAATAAGCTTAATATTTAAGGATTTAATTTGTTGACTGATAAGTTATCCTACTCTATAATTATAGAAATGATGCAAAGTAAAACTAAAGTAGCAGTCGCAAGGGAAACTAAAAATGATCTTTTTCTAGAAAAGAGATATTAATGAGATAGAAAAGAAGAGATGAGAAAAGGAGGAGGATGAGACATTCAGCTGCAAAACTAGCCAAAAGAAGCAAAACAGAATTAAAGCAACAATGCTTTCCATCACATCTTTGTGGGTATGAGAAATTTGGATGCATCACCTCTGATGCTATTTTACTTGGCAAGAAAAAAAAATATTTTAAAAAAAGAGATGCACTTATGCAGCAGTATTTTTCAGCAGTTAATTGTTGTTGCATCAGAATATGGCTGTTAGGCACAACTAATTCAAGTATAAGTACAGGTAAGTTTAAATGCAATTAGGATACACAAGTCAAGCAGCATCCATTTCGCGTTGCAGCTCCAATACAACCAAAACAAGAGATGACAAAGAGAATTATTCCTACAGCAACAAATAAATATATGAACCTGCATAAGAAATGAATGCAAAATTAGAATTTGGCAATTTCAGACAACCTTGAAACTAATAAGCACTTATGAATACATTCTGCAGCAAGTGTTGCTTCAATAACTCTGCAAATCACATACAACCAATAGTTAGTGAAAATGACTTTGCAGGTTCTCTTTTTCATTGCCAACAAATCTCCTGCTCTTAGTAAAGGAGAAACTTATCGACTAAAGTTGTATTATGTTAAAAAAATTTAGCAATGCCCTGGCACCTAACCTCAAGAAAGGAAAAAAATGTACATATTTTTACAGGCATCATTTTCTGAGAGATTATCTCATCTTATGGTAATAATGTTATTTTCAAGCCAAACTAGTATAAGTTTGTATTACTCTTTTGGGAGTCCTGTTCTTGATCCTTAAAGAGTACTGAGAACCAAATACAGAATGCAGAGGACCAAGATCCAAAATAGAAACAACGAGTTGAGATGGAACACTGGTAGATGGGTATGATATATGATTGTTTTCCAAAATTACGATCATCACCATTGCTGTCTCACAACCACTTTCCAGTTTCGACCAACACTATATACGATCACCATCACTATTGTGAAGCCCCAGTACAACCAATACACCAACATCACAGTCCCATGACCAGTATCAAAACAATTTAATTCTTCGATCTTCCTGGATTATCATCTATGCTAAACACAGTTGTTGCCAATTTAAGTTCTGTGTCGATTATTTGTGATGCACCAAACCATTAAGTGCAGTCTAATAAAATGAATACAGCATCAATGAAACTTGTAGAACATTGTTAACTGTATATCTCAAACTATTACACATAAACAATTTAGTCCAGCATAATAAAATGAATATAGCATCAATGAAACTTGTAGAATATTGTAAACTGTAAATCTCAAACTAATAAACATACTTTTTGCACTAAAGTTAAACGATGACAGCCAACTGAATTTCCAAATAACTTTTCTTCGCTTTGGATTTTGAGATCAAAACTAGGATCCATCCACCCGCCTTTCACTAAATCAACCAAGGCCCAATAACAAAAGCCACAGAAACAATTGTAACAATAATTTGCAAGCGATCGGTGGAAAACATGCCACAAAAGAAATGAAGTTCATAATCATCAATAAAATCACTTTATTAAGACATAATTTATCTCTCTGTCAATCGCCAAGAGCATGGGGGAAGAGAAAGTTAAAAGTTGTTGAAAGTGGCTTCCGTTCTTAGAGATTTTGAACAATTTTATGTCCGTTCCCTCATTCTTTTCAAGTGCTCTATGGAGCTTATACTAAGATCAAACCCATCAAAAACTCAATTACCCATCTCCTAAGAACTTACTTTTTACAATTCAAACCAAACAACAGCTTTCTCAACCACAATTGAGCAAACACCAACAACCTTAAAGCACAAACCAAAATCGCCAAAAACAAAAAAGCCACATACCATGCGTTTGGCTGTTTATCAAAGACGTTTTCCGAAAGAGACACAGCAATAAGCATGGGGCGACCGAGCTGCGTCAAACCCTGATCAGCACTCAGCGTCGACACTAGTGCCGCATTGTCATCTGCTCTTTTATACTCAACAAACAAGTAGATTCCATAACCAATCATAGCCAGACCCACAAGAGTCAGCAAGAAGTTAAGGAGCTTCAGCAGGCACTCCAAACACCCTTTACAGGCCATTTTTCCGTATCAAATCCCTGGAATTTCCACTCACTCTCTTCTTCTATTTCATCAGCTCACTCACCTTCTACCTTCAATATCAAAACCCACATTTAACACTACAATTTCAATTACCTCAAAAACTAAAACACCATATTTCTCCAGCACATTAAAAAAAAAAAAAAAGATAATGGAAATAATTCTGTTGAAAATAAAAATTTCAGGAATGAAAAAAAAAATTATAAGGTAGAGATCCAATACTGGAATTTAGGATTCAGAAACCAGCTTGATTTGTCAACTTCCAGATATCAAAAACAAAGTTTAAAATTGAAACAAAAAACAAAGTTCCTTTTTTATTTTCTCAGCAACCAAACAGAAACGTCAATCAAAAAAACCTAAACCATTAAAATGATAAGAGCTAAAATCCATCTTACCAATTAGTTTATTTGATAGAAAGAATCTCAAGATAAGATAAAATTAGCGTGGATCATGTTACGAAAACAAGGAGATTAAGATGAAAAAAAGTAATAACTTACAGTTTTGGTTATTCGGTGGAGAAAGAATCCAGAAATTCAAAAGTAGGTGAGAGATGAGGACACCTTTACTTTTTTTGCTCCTCTTGTCTGAGTTGGCATTTCCCATTATTTGTCCACTCTTGCAATTTTATATATATATATATATTAAAAAAAAAAAATGGGCGCTTAATGCTTCTAGAATGCCATTTTTACCCTGCCCTTCATCTTTGTAAGCGTGTGATTCTGAGGAAAGTTTCATGACATTTCATATCTTTGGACATGATAGCATTTCATGAAAAAAACTTGTATGATTTTTTTTAAAAAAAAAAAAATTATTATTAAGTGATCCTATGTTAAATTCACTCAATTTGTTCTCCAGGAGTAAAGAGACGCTAGATTGAGCTCATCTAGTAGTTCTCATCGTTTAGTTGTACTCTATAACAATTATATTTAAGTATCTTATTCAATAATTTGAAATAATGCCTATCTTTAGACAAGAGTTTCATTTTTTTTTTTTTTTTTTTTTTTTTTTTTTTGCGTTGTGATTAAAAAGATATGGTTTTACTGTGTTTTTCATGATATTTTTTTGTACGGTTTCTTCTGCCTTCTACTTAATATGCAGATTGTATTTTCTATATCTTTGTGGCCGGATTGGAATTCCATTGATTGTTTTGTTTTTGTCTTTTTGCTAATGCATGTATCTATCTAGTCAAGAGAATCAACTGCGGGGTGAAACCGTCAATTCGAGGTTCGCTGACTTGTGCATTTGGTGCGGCCTCAAATAGGTTTCATTTGCCGGTGGACAGCATGTAGAAATATATGCTAGATATCGTATGTCATATGACTAAATAAATAAAATAATAACCACTCCACAAAGATAAGATTTTGGAGTTTAAACGATTATTTGGCATATCCTAAAATACATAAATCGCAAATAAAAATAAATGTTAGAAAACCTATTTTATGTTAATCAAATTATTATGAATTCTAAATTATTAAAAAATATTAAATAAATTATTTCATATAATAAATAAACAATATGTGTACCATCAATCATACACCATAAAGCTTTAAAAAAGAAGAAACCACAAATGGGCCACAATCTGCCTGTTTTTTCACTCTCCTGGAAGGGGAAGGCTCTTCTCAAAGCACCGGGAGATTCAACGCCTTATCTTCCATCGTAATCCTAAAACGGATTTTTGAGGATTAAAAACAGGAAAAAAAAACAAAAAAACGATCCCCGTAAGGCATCTCTTTTATTTATTCTTTGAGATTGATAATTTCAAAAGATTACCTTTTTCTCTTTGAATTTTACGTTATAAGTATAGATCCTTAATCAGTTCTCACTCCTTAAAATTAAATTCATCTTTTCAATTCTATAGACAAAAAACTATTCATGTTAAAATTAAAAAAATTATAATTTTTTTCAACTATGTAAGATTTGAATCTCGATAATTATTTATTTTTTATTATATTGGCAAGCCTCGCTCATGAATATACCTAAATCTCAATCTTTATATAAATATTATATGTATTTTTTTTTTTAGCTAACGATAAGAATATTTTCGAATCAGATTACGTATTAATTGGAATGCATATTTCAAAATTTTTTTCATATATTTATATAAATTTTGTCACAACCCAAACCCCTCCGTTGTATATTTGTTTCTTGTTTTAGTTTTGTTTTATTTCATTTTTACTCTATTTTGAAATTTACTACAAAAAACAAAAAAATTAAAAAAAGAATCAAAAATACAAAAAATATATATATAAAATATAAAATGCAAAAAGAATTATTAATTACATCGAGGGTACAATTGAATCAAATAAAAGTAAAATTAATATAATTAGGGATACAATTGAATCAATTAAAAAGTTAAGAATTGAAATTACAACTTTTAGGGACCCAATTGAAAAAATTATAATTTATACGACAAAAATTACATGTCAAAAGGACATGATTGTAGACAATTGAAAGGTTTGGGACCAAATTGAAACTTGGGAGCGAACAACTCGTTGGCTCCAACCCAAAATCAATTCCTCGCGTTCGTCTTCAATCTTTTCCTTAGGAACAAAATTTTCCAAATTTGTCTCATTCATCACCAAGATTATTGGTTGACAATTGTACCAACCAAGAATCACGCCCATTCTACTCCACTACATTCTCGCACCACTACACCACCCCCCACACATCCGCACCACTATGCACACACACTCATTAACCCCATTTCACTCGTTTTCTTCACATAATGCCAAAAACCTAGTACTAGGTTTTTGGCTCTTACAACGAGCAATTCGTACCATTGAAATTATCCAAGGGTGGAGAAATGGTAATGGCCGCCTATAAATAGGTTGGAAATCGAGGAAACAAGGAAGAGGGAATGAAGGAAGGAAAATAGAACTTAAGCAAAAGGATTTCACATGAAAATTTGAGAAGAGAAATTGAAGAGGAATTTTGGGTAATTCAGGAATTGAGAGGTGGTTTCTAAATGAGAATTTATGAGTTTCAAAGGGATTTTCTAGGTTTCTTTTTTTGTATTCTTCCGAAGGCTTTCTAGGTTTAAGTTGTTCCCGGGTTTGGACGAATAACAACTGGAAAAGAGCAAGAATAAAGCAATTTTCCCATTGCCATCATTTTTGTCACGACAATTAAAGTGGGCTATGATCGACATAAGAATCAAGGGGGTCGTGATACCCACCTCGACTCAAGCAACCCTCAAATACTTATAATATAATCCTCAAATTACATCACATCAAATATCATTTCATTTATCATCCATAATCATCATTCTAATTAATCATTATCACAATGCTTATACATATCCCGATTAAATTCTAATGCAACTCTCACAAAATATAACTGCAGAGCTTTTAAAAAGTATAACAAGTCAAACACAGGTTCTAAGAGATTATAATTAAATATGTCACACGATCAATATGTCGACTTCAAGATAAATAGTTAAGCGAAGCTAAAAGTGGCACCCTCAAAAACCCCGCAAGACTAAAATAGTGGAGGATGAGCAAATCAACGGCTTAATGAGTAGATACTATATAACATAATAAGGAAATAAAACGAACTTAGGACAATAACTTAAAATTCAACTTAAGATTCAATGCTTGTTTCACCAAAACAAATGCATATCATAAATATCAAATCTAGTATCGTAACTTAAATGGTTTAAAACTAATTCACATTGAATCATCAAAACAAATGTGTGTGTGTGTGTGTGTGTGTGTGTGTGTGTGTGTGTGTGTGTGTGTCGTGCATGTGTGTGTATATATATATATCATAATCAAATCAAACCACATATGTAGGTTTTATTTATCTTTAGGGTGAATATAATGTATCATTAGCCGCAAACACCCAAAGGTCACGCCCTCATGACTAGGCTTTCGTATGTTCGCCGACACATGGGCTAGCACTCTACCTCTCCCGCTAGGTAGAGCCTCGTATCATTGAGTTCAAAGGCTATCTCCTCCATGGCTAGGTATCCTAAGGTCACGAAAACATATTGAAAACCATATAAGCTTATACATATTCCAAGATACTCAAATCTAGTATATCAAAATAATGCATGCTCAAAATTAGATTGATAACGTAATTCAATATTAAATAATCATTAATCAAAATTATATGAATAATCAAAATAATAGTCTAAAGTAAATTAAAATTAAAATTTGTAATTTCACATCAAGCCATAAAAAAAAAAAAACACTTGTTCAAACATAAGTTCAAATCCATTTTTAAATCATATCAAATTATTTTCAATATGAAATCATTTCAAACACACAAGTAGTCCGTTCCTCATCTAAGTTCTAAGGAATGTGACTAAATTGTACTTAAACCAATGATACATGATAAACATAATCAAAGGAATTTTAAAGTGTAATATATTATATAATATCCACTCATAGTACAAATGAAGGATCGAATGAAATTAAGGTTACCGAAATGGAGTCGCTCGCTTCGAAAAATCTAATAACACAAGATATTAGAATAAACATCAAGATCACATATCGAAGAATAATTCAAAACAATGAATTATTCTAGAAATATGAATACAAGACTATCTATAAGAATTAAACTTGATCGAAAAACTCAAACCGATAGCTTTAATTAAATTCTTACTCTCTCTATCGATTCTAGACAATTATCTAACTATATCGCATCATCAAGCCCTAATTCAATCAATCTTCATATATACCATCTTTTTCTCATATTTAATTCAAATCCTTAAACAATAAATCCTTAATTAAATCATCAATTCTAATCTATTTCATTCAATCCTCATTTCATTCATCTTTAATTGTGTTTATATATCTTAATTCTTTATTTTTTTTCAAATTCTTTTCAATTCAAAACCCAAATTTTAGATTTTTCACTACTCATCATCTTCAACCTCTCAATTAATCAAATTTAATCAATTCCACTTCAAATTAACTTCATAAACCACTTACCCAAAGCAATTAAACATCATTTAATAACCGAGAATTACTTAGCTAACC